GATGCCAGATGCATTCAGCACTGCAGTTGTTCAAATACCACGGAGGCGTGACCTGCTTAAATCCCTTTAGACGAGTAGGAGCAAGGGAGAGGTACAATATACCGTGAGATTTGGTTTTGAAAGGGTCATTCGTTATTTGAAATACATGGGCGCACATGTTTTGTTTATGCTGTAGCGTAAAATGATTACCAGGTGCTGAAACATCGTTCGTAATGAATGTGAGGTGGCTCTAACCGACAAAATGATGCGAGTTGCATCTGGCATTGGAGATGCTCAAATACCATAGAGCTGTGGCTGTGTTAAATGGCTCCCTAGGCAACTAAAAGTAAGGGGCAGCGAAACACGCCGTTAAACCTGATCTTGGAAGAGTAATTTCTTATTATATATACTGAAGCGTACAAACGACTTATGATATTTGTGCGGTAGCACATGAGGAGTAGCCTGAACATTAGCTCAACGCATTGAAACGGCACTCAGTAAGAAATTAGCATAGTGTACTTAATCTTGGACCAGAATTCGTCCTGCCTCAAACAGGTCGCCGGTAGGTGACATAGTTCTTGGACTGAAATGCACGATTGGAAATTGTAGACTGCTCCAAAGAAAACAGCTTAAAATTACCAACGGCATCGCCAACGTCGTCCAAAAATTTCAACTAACGCGCCAACTAAGAAGAACATATCTCCAAAGGAAAGAGATAAAAAAAGTAAAAGTTATAAAATGACAAACCGCTGATTCTAACCGCGGGAAAAAAGCAATTGTACAGTCGCAATGGAGTTGAATGAATATGCAGAGAAAGGCCGAGGACTCCTAGGAGGTGATTCAACGTACTGTGAGATTGGCCGGATTCAAAGAAAGATCATCAGCCAGCACAATGGCGATCAAGACAGGATATAGAAATTGATCAAACCTTTCAGACCAGGAGTCGAAACTTGCCGGGTCCCATAGGCCTACGTGCTGCCAAAGATACACGAAGTGGGAAGCAAACAGAATCGTCAGCACGGATTCTAACCGACGATAAAGAAAGATTTTGAAAGCGGCGGAGAGGACGAGGAAGGAACTTATAAAATCTATCTTAGCATGGCTTATCCTGTAACGCAATTAAATTGTGAATAA